GAGGGTCGCTGTGTTCAATAGGTTTGAATTGTACATGTTGTTCAAAAAAAGAAGTTATAAAAGCAAAGTTGGCTCGCATCAGTCAGTCGNCGCTTTTGAGCATTCTGATGTTCCGCATACGTTTGTAGGAAAGAAATTGAATCCGGATCGAATGCTAAGCCATGCTCGTTCCGTATTGTAACATTTAGGCTCAGCAACCTATAAGACAGGCCTTACTTGCGTACCACGCAAAATGAACAGATCTCACGTTCTAATACTCATGCTTCACCCTGACTAAAGGCTCAGATGACGACCAGCCAGTCAGAGGATGAAATAAATATGAAAAGTTAAGCATACATATTCCCACGATCGATCTTCTTTGCAAGCTGGATCCGCAGACAATTCAGTTCTTCCGATGGAACACCACCTGTAAACCAGACGTCAAGAAGAATGAGTGAGCATAGAAGTAATATTGAGCCATTTACACAGACCTGATAGAATCTTTTGTCTGACAGAGAGCATATAATCAATAAAATCGAGGACTTCGTGAAAATAATGCATTTCCGAATGTTTAACGTAAATTTCCTGAAGAAATAATGAAGGCATACTAGTCTCAAGTATCACAGGTGAGCTCCAAGAGATTAATTAGTCAATGAAAGCTTGAAAAGACTTACTTTTATTTTTCTCCACCATATTTGCGTGACCTGACTTATCTCCTCTACGATATTTGCACCTTCTGCAGTAGGATCAGTTTGTGAGTGCCGGTTCACAAACTTGACTGCTACAAGAGGAAAGAGCCCTGCATCAGCTCTTGATCCGACTCGGGATCCTATGGCCCACCCTGAAATACGCTTCTGCTACTTGATTTGGTGATAGAGGCGGGAGTGCACCCGACTTCTGAAAATGGACGAGAGGACCTGCTCATGTAATACCTCCCACAAAAGAAACGGTCAAAGTAGGAAATTTCTTAAACTTCACTAACACCTTTTTCTACTCTTTTTTGGCCTGCCCAAACATGAAGCTTGAATTTGCCGAGGGAATCAACCAAAGTCTTCGTCACGGTTGAAGAAAAGACCAATGTAGTTAAAAGGAACTTGTACAAAATGTATGAGTCAGCGAATCATCCGCGCAGTGGTTCGCAGATGTCATCGTCTTAAAAGGCCGTTAAGCCCGAAGATTCAACTTATTTGCTTTCTTTCAAATGTTTTTAGCAGCTTTATCATGAAAATCAAGAGAAAAATGGGACTTCCTTACCGTCTTTCTCGGCGAAAACACAAATTCGATCTCCAGCGATGAGATTAAGGAAACAGCATGGAGCTTTTTTAGAGGCAGCATTTTCAATGAGTTCTTCATTTGCAGCAAAATTTGATACAGCTGAAATTCAACAAGTAGTGAAAAAGCCTACTGAGTAAGAATCCTAGGCGTTCCTAGACACTTGAGAAAAAACAGTGCAAAACCATAAACTAAACTCTACCTATTGCATATCGGACCTTCATTCCTTATTGGTGACCACATAAATACTACAACGACATCGTTACAAGTGAATATAATAGGATTCTGAAATAATTTGCGACAATCTTCGATATGAACTCGACAAGAAAGGGAGGAGTGAGTATGACTGATCGCTCAAGTTTTTTGACTTTTTACAGGCTGTGCAGTTACACATCAGGCAATTAAGTCAACGCGCCTTTTACAAGTGGCTACTAGTTGAAGCTTTGCAACGATATTTGAGGGTATTCAGTTTGCCGATTATGTCATCATGAAGGCTGATTTGAAACCATCATCTGCCCAGGTTCCTCCCAAAAAAAGCCAAAGAAAGAAGGGTAAGAAGAAGAGGAACAAGGCCAAGAAAGATGATGAAGAATGTGAGTTACTAAAACTATTTTGACTTGAATGGTTTTTTCCTTTTTGTTTCTTTTTTTTGGAGCACTAGTATAACCACGCTTTTGCTATCTCTTTCCCTCCTTCTCCCTGACTACTGAGCTGCACTAATTGGCACACTATGAATTGGCTATGAGAGAAGTAATCTATCACCTAAAGATGTGTTTATTCTTTATGGTAGTTGTTAGTAAATTTTCTACAGTGTGATTTCATTTTCACTCTTGTATCCGACTGTTTTTTATGCGCAGCACTATTCGCGAAATGAAAACAATTTATTTTGCGAGGGTCGCTGTGTTCAATAGGTTTGAATTGTACATGTAAAAAAAAAAGTTATAAAAGCAAAGTTGGCTCGCATCAGTCAGTCGTTTTAGATGTAGAAGGGCTCAACATCTTATTTGACTTGCGCGATCTTCAAGTGTATCTCTCTAAATGCCTTCAGTTACAGATGTTGAGAACATACAGGAAGCAAAAAAGCTCAAAGCGAAGTTTTCATCGAAAAAGAAAGCCAAGGATGATGACACGGCTTACCTCAAAGTGAGCACTTTTTAAACTTCTGTCATTTCCACAACGATTTAACAGCTTCAGCTCAGATTTCTGCCTTTCTCTTTCTTTCTTTCATACACCTTTACTTCTATATTTCTCGTCCGCCCTTTTCACGACTGTTTTGTGAAACTCTTCCAAGCTTAGCTATGCTTCATATTTAATCTCTTTCTAGACGTGTTTCTGTTTGCAAGCCCTAGAATCTTGTTCAAGGTATCTGGATCAAACACTGATGGGCCAAAGGTTCGGAATTCTCAGACCCACAACAACCTTTTGAAGCGAGCGGAGGAAGCGCAAGTGAATCGAGTTTTCCAGGTGCAGTTCGAGAATATTATTGAATTATTTTAACGGTAATTGTTGTCATATGGCACCACCAGTCTCGTCATTGTTGTTATAGATCGAATTCCGCCCAGATGTCCTTCAGACTCTATGGATGTGCGCCCTGTGTCATCAGCGATCGGCTCAAGACGAACTGGGCGATCTTTTTGGCCCCTATTATGTCAACATTCGACCGGAAGACCACTGGCCTAGCTTTCTGTTCAAGAAGTCGTTGAAGGTACTTTTTCTCATCAGCCTTTACTGAGATCAGAAGGAGGCAGGAATGAATGACACAAACAAACGCGGTCTGGTTCTGAAACACGTGTAGTATCACCCCAAACTATTCCTATCAGTGATTGACTTGACCAGTGGTGGGGTTTTTTGCAAGGCAGTTTGTGACAGGGGAGCACTCATGACTTGTTTGAGGAGTCACTTACTCATGTTTCTCGTTAATCTTTTGTAGATAGAGTTTGCACCACGCAGAGTCAGCTAAACCAAAGAAAGATCCGTGGAGGACGAAACCCACAATTTCCTAGTGACGTAGTTTGCAAAAGAGTATGAATTTTCTGCGTTAATTACCTAGGGCTCGAAGAAGCTCGAAGTTGAGACGAAGAGCAGATTATCTCGAATTATTCACCGCAATACTTTGTCCGCTCAGCAAGTTGAGTGGAACTAACTCCTTCACTACACCTCTACGGTAGATCGGTTAAGGAACTTCTAGTAACATATTTCTGGGATATATCAATTTTTCGAAGCTCCTTTCACATTGAACATCTCAAATGTTTGGCATCATTCTGATTTGTATTTCTGAAAACGTTCCAATGGATGTGATCTTTCTTATCTATGGTTGCTGTTATTTTTGTCTACCAAGGAAAGCGACCGTGTAATTTTGATGTTATGGGATTTTCCATCTATCTAGTCCAGCAATAGTTGATGAATGACATTTCAAATTTGGTGGAATCTGCTCGGAGATATGGTTCAGATCGAAGGAGTAGCGGCTAATGTCTTTTTTTGGATCCCGATAGGAGGATGTCGTTGGATTCGCTAACTCTTGTTGAACAATTACTTGGTAGTTCTTAGTTTTGGTTGTAGTAATGGCGAGCTAACGATTGCCCAGCGATCGAAGGATGATTATTTAACTCACTTGTTCAGCTGTGTTGCTCCTGTTTCCTACAGTTGACTCAATCTCGTTCTGAGTTTCGCGCGACAGTACAAGCCAAGTTTGGGTTTTGTAGATGTCCTTGGAATTAATCTTCAGGCTCTTAGGAATCCTCGGAGTTCCTATCTATTTCCTTTGTCAAGGTGTAATATCTCCAGTTGGAGTCGTCAGTACTAGCAACTGCTGTTTAATTGATTATAATGTAAAACTAGTAGTTCTCCAGCGGTGATTGTTTTTTTTAAAAATAATTTCCCTTTCGTGTCTGTCGATGTAGCAATTGTGTCTAGCAAAGGTTCATACTTTGAGAGATATTTATTGACTACTATACCAACGCTGAGAAGGTTCAATACACAGTACAAGTCTTGGGCACATAGACAGTGGTGGTCCAGGGTTCTCCCTCAAGTTGTCTGCGCGGGATAACCTCGACGCGGGCCTTGCGCAGCAGGCGTCTGGTCTCCGGATCGTGAGCACGAGGGCAGATGAACTCGACCTCCTCCTTCTTCTCTTCGTCCTTCACGGTATTCTCTGGGCACTCGTAGACGGGCTCAGCAGAGAAGCAGACGCGGTTTTCACGTTCGATGATACGAGTACGAAGAATCGGCTCTGAAATTATTCGTTGAAAGATTGGATCAATTAACTGTACTGCAAGGAAAACTCTGAGTAACTTACTGGGATTCTCTTCCTCCTCGCTGGATTTGTCATTCTCCTCGGAGTACCTCTCGTGGCTCCTGTACTCGCGCTCTCTCTCCTCTCTGAACTCCTTCTCCTCTCTGTAGCGGTAGTTGTCGCGCTTCAGGTCCTCCTCAAGACGGTAGCTGCGCTTCTTGGTGAATTCCGTCTCATCAATCTCACATTCATCGTCCTTTAAGATGTAGCTGCGATGGAAGTCTTCAACCATATTGGTCTCTTCATTGTCAGCGCGGCGCATGTCGTTCCATTTCTATAAATAATTACATCATAAGGATTGAAATTATTGCCCATCTCTTAACTGTTGCTCACCTCTCCATCGTAGTGTCCGCAGATTCCGCACTGCTTGTTCTTGTACAGATGCGAGAGCTTGATGTTGGCCTCAACTCCGTCGAACAACACGACAACATCTTCAATGTCGATCTTGTAGAGCAGGTCGTCAACTCTGTAGATGCGGTATCTCTTATACTCCTCGGGCCTGACTTCACGGTCGTTGACCTTGAAGAACGGCTTCTCATTGACGATCTCCATCACATAGACATGTTCAGGAGTAACGATCTTCAGTCTCTTTTCCTCACGTTCCTTTTCGATCTTCTTCATGAGGACGACGAATCTCGGCTCCTCATTGGCGCAGTCCTTAGCCAAGACCGTGTAGCAGTTGGAGAGGGGAGTTCTGAGGCGAAGGTCGTCGAAAGTGTTAATCTCCCTGGACTTGACAATGCATTGTGGGCGAGTGCTCTTGATAAGGTGGTGGAAGACGTCCTTAACCTTGGTGGGTTCAAGAGTGTGCATTTCATGGAACTGAATCGTAGGAAGCTTGAAAGGCATGGTGAGCTTCTTCATCACAACGCGCTCCTTGGGGGTCTCAATGAGGAGATCAAACGTGCGGCGGTTCAGAGGCTCGATTTCCAAACGCATACGAACGATTCCTTCCCTGTTATGAACCTTCTCGAATTCGGTGTGCCACAGGTTCCAAGTCTTAAGGAAGGAGAACATCCTGCGCATGTAGTACTCAGTTTCCGGAGTCAGTCTGTACTTGGCCATGAGCTTGTAAAGGTTCCTGTTGGAGAACATCTTCATCTTCTCCATCTCGGTCAGCTTATTCTCCTCACGTTCGAAATTCTTCATCCACTTCTTCTGCTCGCGGCTTGGCTCACCCTGGATGCGCATGGTGAGAGTGTTCCTCTCCTCATTTCCCCACATAGCATCAATCAGAGTGTGGCATTCGCGATGGATCTGCTCCTTCATCATTTTAAGAGTCTTCGGGATCTCAGGATAGACGGTCTGCATCTCGACCTTCATCTCCCAGTCACGATTCTCCCTCTCCATTGGGGTGCGACGAGCAAAGATGTAAGTGCGCCAGAAGCGGTATTTGTTATCATGAACGACCTTCAATTCCATCTCTGCTTCGTGTTTCTCACGTTGTCCAACAGTTTCGATCTTGAAGAACAGGCGGTGCTTGAACGCCTTCTCGATCTCGATGTTCCTAAGGTAGGTGGTCAAGTGAGTCCTGCGGTCACCAATGCGTCTTGGCTCGGTTTCCTCGTCCTCGCCGTTGAACATTTCGTCGTGGTGCGTGAGAAGCTTTTCAATCTCGGGTCTCTCAAGTCTCTCTGGGACGAAGTTGTCCAATTCCATGTGGAAGACGTACTCCTTTGGAAGGTCCTCAGTGGGTTCCATGTGGACGTCATAGGTGTTGTATCCAATCAAAATCGGGTTGAGCATGCTCTCCGTGTTGCGGATAATTGGGCGGTGCATGGTTCCGGTGAGCTTCACAATCATTCCGTATCTCTTGAGGAAGGTACGCTCAAATGATTTGATTGGGTAGAGGTGTTCACGAAGATGAACAGTGATTTCGACCGGTTCGGGGTAGGTGTGGGTCTTCTTCATGTGGCGAATGAAGGTGACTGGGCGCGACTGGAGGTGGAGAACGTGCCTCTTTTGCTCGAATGGACGAACAATAGTCTTCAGGTGAAGTTTGTGCTTCCAGGTGAGCTCCATTTCAGTATCGAATGGCTTGTCAAAGGTAGCGGAGTGGAGCATCTTGAATCCATTCTCGACAATAGGGCTCAGGACGATAGCTCTGACGACGTGGGTGGTAGCAATCTTAGGCTTCAAGAAGAGGCGGAGGCGAAGTCCCTCGAACATTCTGTTTTCCCTAGGCTCCATCTCTACCTTGATGTGTCCCTGGACCGTGGCAACAGTTGGCATCTTCGAGGTGATGACGAGTGGCAGACCGAGGGTAGTTGGGATTCTCCTCTCGAACTCGTAGATGTAGAAACCTCCGGTCTTGGTGAACTGTGTTCCAGTAGCAATGAAGCGCTCGACCTCGTCAAGATCAATCTTTCCGTCGTGGAACATGTTCTTGATTACCTTGGGGATGGTATCGACGTCGAATGGCAACAAGGCGTAGTCCATGTCTTTGTAGCGGAAGTAAATCATCGCGTGAGCGTCATCCTTGTTCGGATGTCGGCGGACGAAGTTCAGCTTTTCGTAGATGTTTCGGAAGAATTCGGCCGGGCGATAGAGGGTGGAGCGCTTTCCACGGACAACAAGGTGCTCCATGTCGGTTTCCTGCAGTTTGTGAAGCAGTTTGTTTAAGATCTCATCAACATTCTGCTGTGAGAATCCGAGCTGAGCGAAGTATTCGTACCATTTTCCTCCAAGAATGGCATCCATGGTGGTAATCAGTTCCTTGGGCAAAACACTGTCCTTGGTGAACAGGCTGTGCAAGTCAACCGAGACGCCGTATCTGTTGTTCTCGTTCTTGACAGTCCATCGAAGAACGCGGTTGTTCAGATTCTCATAGAACTCGGTGTCAACAGTTCTCAGTGCCTTCTTCACATGGTGAACGGTTTCCTCATGGATTTCAGGAACTTCTGAGATGGTCTTGAGGGTCTTGTAGGTGAAAGCACGGATTTGCGGGTCACGCTCGACTTCCATCAGGCGGACGATCTGGTCAACAACAACCTGCTCGGGCTTGGTCTCCATAATCTTGCGCATAGCGATCATGCGGATTTCGGGATTTTCACTGCGGCTCTTGTAGATTGGCATCAGAATGCTCTGGATCTTGCGTGGCATTGTGTATCGAAGTCTGCGCAGAGCGTTAATAGCTTCGATTCTGATAACCTTTTCCTCCTCTTTGTTGTAGATAATGTTCTCCAGCTCGTGAACTGAAATATCAATTCCGGCGTTAGCAAGAGTCTTGAGCATGAGCACCTTCTCGTAACGAGTCTCGCTTCTCCTGAACATGTCCATCAGTTTGCGAACGACCTTTTCTTTGAGCTCACGCTTGCACATGTTCTCCTTGTGATAGACAGCAAGCTTCTCGTTGTTGCACAGTCCGTTGAAGATGGCACCGTAGGTCAGCCAGCAGGATTGCTTGAGGTAAGGAGTCCTCTCGGCGATATTGCTCTCGCAAACGCGAAGAACTTCTTCGGCGATCTTCTCAGATGGCACGCGGACTTCAGAAAGAGACTTCAAGAGTCGGGCTGCCTTCAGAGTGTCAATCTTCTCCTCAGTGATCTTCTTGGCCAGCTCCTTGACAGTAACCTTCGTTCCAGCCATGGCAAGGGCGTCGTAGTACAGGGAGAGCACCTTGTGGTTGACATTCTCACGAGTTTCGAAGAAGCGCTGGATCTTGATGAGCTCATGCTCACGGCAGAGGCGCAGAAGCTTCACAAGACGTGCGAACATATGGGTGGTCTCAAGCTCGACCTTCTCCTCCATATGGCGGTTGATGAGAGTCAGCAGCTTCTCAATATGCTCAACCTTGTTCTTCCACTCAGGAATGCGGTGTAGATACCTCTCGTCTCCAGTCATGGCGAACATCTCCTCGGCGATCTCCCAGTCGAAGTTGTAGATGAGGGTCTCCTTGCGATCGCGGCGCACGCTTGGGATTTGGGTCTCAGGTCTTCCAGCGTAGACAAGAGTCATCTTGTTGTAGACGAACGAGCTGATGAGTTCGTGCTTCTTCGAAAGTGGCATAAGCTTGTATTGAGACTCGAGCTCGACTTCATGAATGAGGAATTCGTTCCTATCACCGGCAACCTTGTACTTGAACACGGTGCTGAAGAGCTTCTCGTCGTCGGTCTTCTTGAACTCACGTGGGCGAATTCCGTACTCTACCTGAACGGATGAGCTTTATGAAATGCTTATCATAAGTATGTTTTTCGCCCTTATAGGCGTTTTGGCGAACAACTTACCTCAGGGCGCACATTACACTTCTGGAAGTTGATGGACTTCGTCCACTGAGTGAATTCAGTCTTCATGTCGTTGATGGTGTATTCGACTTCGCATTCGCCTTCGAGGGTTCGCTAAAACACTAGGAATTAACAGCAATTATAACAGTTATGTTGTTGTTTTTGGAAATTATCGTCAGGCTGCCCTACCTCAACAGTCGTGAAGAAGTTTTTGTTCTCGGGTTCTTCCTCGCGCTCACGCCTCATGGTCTCATCCCTCTTCATCATGTTGATCTGTAATGTAATATTTTTCGGGAACATACCAGTAGCTTAGATGACCCTACCTGAAGCATGTTGAGGATAGCCTTCTTGATGTTGACTGACCACGGCTTGTCCTCCTCAGAGAATTCGATGTCGCTGATCATTCCATGCCTGTAGGTGAATCGAATAGGCATGAACAGCATGTTTTTGTGCTCCTCATCGATCTTCACCAGTTGGTAGCGCTCGAACGGAAGGAGCTCACGTGGCTCGAATTCCTCCTGGATGGATCCGAAGCGGACCTGGTTCAGTTGGAACAGAGTAGTGCGCTCATCAATCGGTTGCAGGGTGACGATGGCCTGGATGCGAGTGGCGGATTGTTGAGTGTCAGGAAGAGCAAGACCAGTGGTGACTTGACCGTCGAAAACATAGCGGTACTCGTTTCCGACCCTGTACCGCTCCTCGGTGATGTGCGGCTTCGGATCCCAGACTAGCGACGAGGCGATGGCTAACCCAAGAAGGGCGATGCCGACTAACAACTTCATGGTTGTTATCAGAACATGCAGATGCTTATCCACCCGTGCTTTTATGCAGAAGGCTTATCGCCTTTTGGATTGGAGTATGTCCATCATAGTGACGGCTCGACGTGCAACAGTAATCATGTGTCACTCAGAACATGGCTAATCTTATCTCTTTGATGTTACAGAAAGCTATTTTTACCCCAAAGTACTTTGGTTAATGGTCCCTACAGAGTCTTCCAATGACTCTGCGGCGCCTTATACCAAGAAGGACCATGATCCCGAGTTTTATTATGAGTTATGAGAATTACTGGGAAGATTGCAAGGGAGCGCGTGAGTAAAGGTGGTGCATAGTGCATTTGATCTTGCTAAAAGTATTGGAGTCAAATTTGTTTTTGGTCCTCGCATAAGTCGAACTGAGGATGTTCTGAGCTTCCACAGTGTTTTTCTAGTTATCGAAAAATGAGACGTATTGCATTGACGTGTGGTTCCATGGCGACTGTATCCTATGGGCTCCAGACATACAAATGAAAGGAAATCAGCTCACTTGTTTAGAAGAAAAACTACATCAATTCTGGAAACAGGTAATAGATTAGTTGGCATTAGTTATTATTACAATTTATTCATATTTTTCTCTTATCATTTTATTGTGCAGCCTGTAGCTGAAAAGGCAGTCACAGTATAATACTCAATGATCCTCAATTTAGAACTGTTGGGTATGCAAGAATTCTGGTGCAACTATCAATGTTGACAATAGATTTATGCATTTCGGATGTGCTAAGAAGCAAGGTCGGTGTTGCTTGTTCGTGGCTTACTCCGCGATTGCTCCATTTTTTCTTTCTGTTTTTTTTTTACAATTTCATTTTGTTTTCTAGACGTTTTATCGCTTCTTAAAATCATGAATTACGTCGTCACATTAGATCTTCGCAAAGCTATCATAGCGTTTATACTACTAGTATTATGATCTTGGATCATTATCACGTATCATGTTGTTATATCACCAATATTTCAGGCTACAAAATGGATCGGCACCTTCTTAGTGTGCAGTTGTAGTGGGTCGAATTGCAGTACATAGTAACTGTTATGTTTGTGAGGTGTTCAACCCCTGTAATATTTTTTGTTGCCTGATATCTCTTTGTTGATTTAGAATTTTTATATTTATGTTTACAATTGTACAGTATATACTGCGGTGTATGTTTTCCTTACATTCCTCTAGTAAACTGTTTTGGCTAAGATTTTGCGGAAGTATTCCGCATCATCTTTGTCATATTTGTTCCAGTTGGATTGCCCTAGATTTTCGATACATTCCACAAGTCAATGCAATAAATATTTTTTGGATAATTGCCCGTTGTTACAATTCCTAAAAGTTCTTTGATAATTAACGAAATCCTTTCTGAGCACGTCGTTAAGAACGGATGACATTCTTTCATCGTTCTTTTTTTTCGAAAAACAAGGATCCGGGAGGACATTGAGGAGGCAGAGAGGCATGCCGGGGATTTTTAGTACAACAAAGTTTATAGCCCAAGCCTTTCTATTTATAGGGAAAAATCCATCCACCAAAATCAGTGTCTTCATCCTCGCATACCTGTCTTTCACAAGTTGTTCATCCCACAGGAATGAGTGATTTCGTTGGCTTTCTTAGAGTTGGGATAGTACCAAATATGTAGAGCTGTACCAAGCGACGACCTTTTCGGGTGCCAAAGGCTTTATGAAAACCGGTCTCGGCCAGATTTTGATAGAGTCTGGGATTGGTCAGTCGGCTAGAGTAGTGAGAAATGCGGAAGATCTTAATTCTGCATTTGTTGGACCTCGAAACCCTCAAATACGCACTCGGGCGCCACTACGATCTTGACTAGAAGTTTTACGCGGGGTGGGATTGACCGCCTTAGAAGAAAACTTTCACCTCTGTTGACTATTCGTAACCCACAACTACACAATTACTAATGAGTAAGGCTATAAGCTCTGTATGAAGTAATAACGTATCTGGAACAAATCCTTACATGACATTTGCAATGAACACGTACTGAAGAGACCAAAGACTCATCCGATGGGGAGACCAAGGAATTCGGGGCCAAAGGAAACCATCGTCTTCAAAGGGGACTCTAAAGAAGAGCAGGATGGATGAAGGATGATGAATAAGGATCCGTCGAAGCTAATGTAACTGTAGGAGATGCCGTAGGTAGGAAGTGAAGCCGACTGACTAGAACAGCGGACCCCTAGACGGTGCGGGATCAGCTCCAGGGGAAAAGGAGGAAGAAGGATAAATCACTACACTTTTGAGTCCTTCTCGATAGTCTTTTTTTATCATGCCTGTAATTCTACAATTAAAATTTGGATTTTTTATAGGTACTCATCTAATTCAACAACAGAACATCAACATTTATCACTCGTCACAGATAGAAATTTCTGGCTCGTACAGTGTCACTGGTTTTCTAGTCATTAGCCCATAATCTTCAACGTATTGGAGATGTTATAGGGGGATAAACACGGGGATAATGAGACAGCAATTGAAATGAGGGACAGACTCGTAGTAAGGAATTGTATATCGAGATCGTTTTTTGGAGTAGAAGAAAAACTTCGTAGAACGTGATAGATGGAAAATGAAATTCTCTATTCCTGTTGCTCCTGAAGTGCATTGACGATGTCTGCGATTTCTTCGACCTGGAAACAACGGGCATTTCTCAGACAAAATAAATTTACAAATTAAATCAATGTGTCCGCCTCTGGGAAACAGCATCACAATAATATTTTTACTACAATAACATCTATTTAATTTATTGGTTATGAGTAATGAGCCGAATCAAATTGTTGATTTCAAATTCGATTAGAGTGGCGAAAACCCATCGTGATTTTGACAAGAGGAATGCTAGGGCCATAGCAAAAAAACGTCGCTTTGTTTCCACTGAAGAACTATTTTTAGTTCATTTTTTAGGCATTGTTTTGGCCTTAGCGAACTTCCAGCTACTCAATAGAGTCATAAATTGCTCGTAAACAATCTACAAAGGGTCTGATTGAAACGTGTTGACAAGATGTTCATGGCAGCTATCAATCTCGTCCATTCAGATATTTTAAGCAACAGAACGGCACGGAGTGTTGCAGTTCCTCGATGCTTTTATCGCTGTCATCGAATTGATGGAGCCATTTTTACATGTGAGGGATTCCAAAGGAATATGCCTATTGGAAACATCCTTAGGAACATTTTATAGAATGCACTTTGATTTCTAGGGTAGGCAAATGTAATTTTGATCGAGCTTCATAATTAGACAACGAAAATTTTCGAGTTCTGCATTAAGAACAAAATTTGAGAGATTGACATTTCATTTCAGTGAAACACGATCCTCTTCAGAAGGGTTTCAAAAACTGGAAAAATGGATGACATGGCAAAAGAGGTGTCGCCAAAATTCTTGTGGCAGAGGACGTGTTGAATTACACCTGTGTGCTTCCACTGTCTCCAATTTCCTATATATGTACTTCCAAGAACATTGAGCGGAACATCAGAGCGAAGCCAGCAAGGAAGATATCCAGGATGCCCGGAACTTATATAAAACCCTGACGACGAGTTTAAAAACTTTTCTGAAGAATATTATTGGTCCGATAGCCCTTAACAGCTCTGGAAGGTGGAATTTGTTGGTTTGTACCGTTTTGTCCCAAACGCTCTCTCTGGGCTGAGTTTTAGCCACGTCTTTTGGGTCTCAAAAAACCCACTATCACGATACTTATTTTCTGACTGTCTCTAACGGCATAAAATCTTCGAAAAAAATATGACTGTTTTGAGATTGACAATTACCCTCACTTTCAGAGTGACCCAGGGCTGCCTACCAAACAAAAATGTTAACAACTTACTGAAGGTTCCTGATCAACGATGGGTTTCAGAGCGAAGTCCACAATCATGGCGCTATCGCGGACTTTATTGGTAACGGTCACCTGAAAAATCGAATTTCCCATGAAATCTTTTCAAAATTGGAAAGCTGGACGAGATAAAAGTTTCAGATAAGGAGTTCATCAGAAAATAAGATGGTCAAAAAGGTGGTCATAGAAAAGGAAGCAGAACAAATCGTAGGAATGAAAGAAGGAAGAAAGGGAGAGTAAGAGATGTGGATGTGGAATTATAGAGATCCCGGAAGTATTGGAGTGGAAATCTCGATTGGTGTATAAATTGGCATGAATAACTTACATTACGGGCAGCTGGTTCGTATCCATCAGCCGTAACGATTACTTCGTAATCTCCAGCCGGCAGAATACGATAGTAGTCGCCGAGAACCCCTGAACTGGTAAATTCCGTTTGTTATGCCTCAAGGAAGTTCAAAGCTTACATTCCCAAGTTCTATTTTTTTCTAGCAAAAAACTATTCCAATTTTTTAAAATGAACTTACATGTGGTAACCGGATGGCGGATGGGCATCTTATTGGTACCATTTCGGATCCATACACCCGCTTGGAAGATTGGCTCATTAGTTTCTGCATCGGTCACGATACCTTTGATTCCGGAATGTACCTGTACACTTACTTCTGAACTCCAGGCTATACAGTAAGGAAATCAATAAATCGATTGAATCACCACTTACAGCAAACATGTACTCCATGAGGGCTTTCTTATTGTCTTCCCAGAACTGTGGCAGTAATTTACCGTCTGGCATCTGCAGTGGAGGGAAGTGAGAATAACAGTTAAGAGTTCACCCACTGTATTGCAAGACTTTAAGGCAAAACTTCTCAAGTTGTATTTTAACCGAACGTATTCCTATTTTCAAAGATCGGAAGCAGCTCAGCTGCTCCGGAATTTCATAGAAAAATAAAAAAAGTAATGACAATTACCTTCTCGCAGCTAAGCTCAAGTGTGATTTCCATGTCATTTGTAGCCAAATAATTGAAATCCTGCATCCCACCCGAGACCGAATACCACTTGGCACCGTTTGTAATTCCTCCTAAAATTGTGCGGATTTTGATTGTTAAATGCTTTATGTATTGTGAATTTTTTGACACATTGCCGTGACATACATACGTGGATGCTTCCTCTGCACAAATTCTTACCAATTATTATCATAACCTTGTTATATTATTATAGGCAAGAGCTCTCACCTTGCCTAGCAAACGCATCCTTGCTGGTCCCGTCGCAGGGTGGATGATCGTTCTTCGCCATGTGAGCATGGTTCTTGGCGTAGGTTTGGGCGAGCCACCTGAATAGCAATTATGTTTCGTGCACCTGGCAATTATAATTCACATATCAATGATTTTATCGAACATCTTTAGAGAGACCTTCCATGAAGGCTGCCTATGTTGCATGAGAAATAGCTCGCAATTATTCAGCGCTATTTGACAAAAATAGCCAACATGAGCTTTGGCTCTATGTGTAGACAATGATTGTTTCCGTTTAGTGGCAGCCCTGAGTGAAGAGTAATTACCCTCCCCCATAATCGGCCTATCGTTGATGGCATCGGATATTCCGAGAATGTGAGCAAGATCTTCAAAGAGTTGTGATGTTTCTAATGGCTTCTCAGCTATTGAAATAAAAAACCTCTCAAATGAGATGGATCGATCTCCAAGTGGTCTATGTGTTTACTCTCACTGAGGGCGCTGTGTAGGCGGGAATGCGTGGCATGACAACTTGCTATTGCCCCCAAAGTAAGACGTAAGGCAATAGAAAGAGAACATCAGAATCGACCAACCTGAATGTACCATCATCTGGCGATGCCGAATATTCGCTGACGCCTTCTTTGGTGGTGGCGTCAAACGGATAGTTGGCGACAAGATCGCCTTCATGAAGATTTGCTGACAGCACAAACGGCAACGACAAAGTCCAGCGACCGACAGCTACCGTTTCGGGTTGGCGCTGAAATGAATCGCTTCAAAGCCCCTGCTTCTCAAACGTCAGATCGATTAAGCATGGTTCAAAAGCTGTACAGGGCGAAGTTTCTAGTCCATTTTTCGGTTTCACTACTTCCGTAGTGAATCCGAAAAGGTGAGTGATGAGCGGATACCACGAAAAAGAAATACCTCCTTGTCATCAGCAAACAGTTCCATCAGATGATCGTATTTTGGCACTTTCAATTTTTCTAATTCGTAGAAAACACTGTCCAAGTCTGGGAAGTCCCTGCAAAGTACTCTAGTAAAATTCAGTCGTTAGGAGTATTGAAAATTTCTATTGAC